TAGAAGCTGCCTTTCCTTCCAAAGAGTGAGAAAATGTATATGACACGAACAAAAGAATAGGAATCTCAGACTGTCCTCAAAGCACTAGGCTGTACAAACAGGGACCAAGAATCAGGGAGGCCCAAGTTTAGAGCAAAGTGAAGAGTTCATTTAAAAGAATCGGGAGGGTAATCTGGGTCAGCCAATTCACATTTGGTCAAGACTGCTAGAGGCTGAATGTCATCACCATCAGATGTTCAGTGCCCTGAATGAAATGGGTTGGTCCTATTCCAGTTCCCAGAGAACAGGTGCACACAAAGAAAGGGGGGGTGGGATGTACTGTTATAGTTGGCACTAATTAACATCCTTGCTGGCAGGCTCAGCAGAAGGGTCAAGAGTTCATTGGCAGTAGAAAGGGCTGATTCAAGGGGCACCTGGGTGGCTCAGTTGGTTAAGCGACTGCCTTCGGCTCAGGTCATGATCCTGGAGTCCCGGGATCGAGTCCCGCATCGGGCTCCCTGCTCAGCGGGGAGTCTGCTTCTCCCTCTGACCCTCCTCCCTCTCATGCTCTCTGTCTCTCATTCTCTCTCTCTCAAATAAATAAATAAAATCTTAAAAAAAAAAAAAAAAGAAAGGGCTGATTCGCTCTGGAATCACTGATTCCAGGGACACACTGATGAGCCATGTGAAACCACAATCTCAAAGAAATGCCCACAGCCCTGGAACTCCATACCCTGACACGTGCCCAGGCGGGCATAGTCCATAGATAGTTACGTTTGAGTCCTCAACCCCTTTGGGAAACCCAGAAAGGCAACACTCCTCAGCAGCCCCTTCACCAACTAACAAAATAGAATATGCTGGTAGCACATATCCAGTTTAAACCCTGCCTCTTCCATGAAATTCTCTGTATCTGACCAGATATCTTTTGGTGCTCCGTATCTGTAATACTGTTGGGCACTCTGTCTAGCAGTGTTACTGAAATTATTTTATAGTTGGCCACATCCAGACAAGTACCTGAGATACTGGCCTGGAAGAAACAGCCTCCTCCTAAGTGTGAGACATCGTAAGAGACTCCAGACCTTTCTGTTCCCACCTCTAGTCCCAGAAACGCCTCAGAGTCCCTTGTAAGGGCTTAGCTTATCCTACCCAGGTCCTCAGCCTGGTTAGCATGCACACCCACTACACCCCTGCCCCCCACATTCCTCATCCCTCCCAGGAGCCCTTTCCTTCTCCAGTCTTGTCCCTTCCTTTCCAGTCAAGCCATTTTTCTCGCTTTCATTATACACTTGGCAACTCTTTAGTTGACTCCTTCCCTTGAATAAATGATTGCCTCTGCTAGGAATATTCTTTCCTGTTCTTTTAACCAATCCACTGTCATGACCCATCTCCTCAAAGGCTGGGCCTGGAACTCTGCAATTAGAATGAACCTTCTTAGACCAGGCAGGCATTGAGCATCTTAGGTGTTTCACCATATAGTTTCTGTGTTTGTGTTATCTCTCTGATCACCAGGTTGAAACTTCAAGGATAAGACGATGATCACCAGCATCTACCCCACGTGGTCTAATACAATGCTCTGCATACAACAGATGTTCCACATATATTTGTAAACTAACATAAACATGATTTTCAAAATGTTCAATAAATATATGTTGACACAGAAGTGATTTTTCTTAAAACAGAGCTTAGTTTGTGGGACCTACTTTTCAAACACAGTAAGTTGATGATGGAGGTAAGTGCCATGTATAGAATGTTTGTGTCCCCCCTCCAAATTCATATACTGAAATCCTAACCCCCAATGGGATGGTATGTGGAGGTGAGACTTTTGGGAGGTGATTAGGTCAAGAGGGCAGAGCCCTTACGACTGGGATTAGTGCCCCTATAAAAGAAGGCCCAGAGAGATCCCTTGCCCCTTCCACCATGCGAGGACACAGAGAAAAGATGGCCATCTATGAGTCGGAAACTGGATCCTTACTAGACACAGAATCAGCTGGTGCCATGGTCTTGGACTTCCAGCCTTCAGAACGGTGAGAAATAAAAGTGTGTTGTTTATAAGTCACCCACTTTCTAGTATTTTGGTTATAGCACCTGGGATACTTACCACTTGGTTAAGAGTGGTAATAAGTAAAAAAAGACAGATTGGCCATCATATCTCTTAGCTTTGCCATCAGATTCCTACCACATCTTCACTAATTATAAGAGAAGCTACCATTTGATGAGTGAATTCTCTTTGCCAAGCATCGTATGTACTTTATGGCATTTAATTCTAAAAGATAGATGCTATTATTCTTTTATGAGCATCTTGCAGAGGGAAACACTGATGCTTACAGAAATTAAGCAGTTTGCTCAGAGTCACATTAAATGGAAAGTCAGTTTCTTAAATTAGATGTCTCTGAAACATTAGGGGATAGTGAGCTAAGAGGAAAGAATGAGGGCGCCTGGGTGGCTCAGTTGGTTAAGCGACTGCCTTCGGCTCAGGTCATGATCCTGGAGTCCCTGGATCGAGTCCCGCATCGGGCTCCCTGCTCGGCGGGGAGTTTGCTTTGCCCTCTGACCCTCCCCCCTCTCATGTGTTCTCTCTCATTCTCTCTCTCTCAAATAAATAAATAAAATCTTTAAAAAAAAAAAAAAGAGGAAAGGATGGGAAGAAGGTGGGGAGGAAAGTCGATGAAAAAGAAAAATCACGTGGTCCCATTTTGCAGAGCACCAGGCGGTCATATCTCTGCCCGTGACGGCAGTGGCTGCAGCGATGTGGCCCAGATCCCTCCTCCAGGACCCAGGGAGACAACAGTTCCCCAGCCAGGGAGAGGGGCTGTTGATGGTGCACAGCTAAACCCGTACCTGGAACCTGCCCTTGGTCGAAGGGAGCTGCCTCGTCCAAGACATAGTGCAAGTCACAGCCCCATGCAGGGCTGGTCAGACGCAGGGGTGCAGAGACCCGAGCACCCTGCCACACTTCAGGGTATCTTCGAAGGGCCATCCCAGCACCAGTGCTCCCCATGGCAGTGACCGAGGCCTCTACTACCATATCCCAGCTCAGCTTCTCCAATTGCCCAATTCCGCCTTCCTCCTTCCCTCCCTTACTCCTGTTGTTCCTGAGAGCCCTCTAAAAAACCTCCTGCGGGCAAGCCTCTCCTCTGAGCCTATTTCCTGGGAACCTGCCTGAAGACACCTATCCATAATGAGAAAGTGGGTGTCAAGGCCACGGCCCGAGCTCTCACCTGATCCCTGGAGAGAGATGCTGGGGGGCATGTCCACAGCTGCGGAAAACCCTGGACGTGGGCAGAGGCTGGATCTGTAGCCCTCCACCCTGACGCTCCCTTTGTTCCAGCTGGTGGCCTTCCCTGTCCCCCAGGCCCGTCAAGGACCAGAACCTTGACACTCTTGCTTCTCACCCCTCTCTCCCATCAAGCTCTGCGTTCAGGAAAGGATGTGATGAACTCAGTCACACAAAAGAAAAATTAATAACATTAATGTGTTACTGCTTGGGATGGAAAAGAAGCTAGACTTACTTTAAGTTTAAACCAGAAGAATATATGTACAGAAAAACTCCAGATATTTATTTACTCAGATAAAATATATTTAAGAACCTACTGTGCTGAGCTGGTGGCGAGGTAGGTGGATCGTTTCTGGTTGGGGGTGACCACCGCAGCCCTTCGGAATAGACTTGACTCTGTTGCTGTGCATCTTTGACCCAGGTCCCCTGAGGGAGCACCCACTCTGTGCTGATTCAACGGGGCCAGCAGAGTTGATGACTTAACCACAATGCCACAGGAGCAGACACCTATGGGCTGTTTCCGCACACGCCCAGGACTCAGGAAAAATCTAGAGTCTTTTTATATGGAGCTCATTCCACCAGAAAAACAAAGAAGTAAGTAATCAGTCCCTCTTTTGCTCAACTCAAAAGCACACTAAAAGCTTTTTCAAGATACCAGGAGATGGTTCAGAAGAGGCAGAAGCCTTTTAAATTCAGTCATCCCTGCTATTCAGCAAAGGTATATTTACCTACTTTTGGACAGATTCGAGATGAAGGGCACACAGGAATAATTCACCAGGGGGATTTTGCTACAGAGTATCTATTCTCTGTCTGAATGATTCTTTAGGTCTACTAAAAAAAAAAAAAAGAAAAAAGAAAGATGGAAGACGTTGCTTCTAATGTTCTGATGTCTCAGAAATGCACACCGGGAGTTGCTGCTTGTCTTGTCACAGGTGAATACGTAAAGCTAAGAGGCTGAAAGCTCAGCGGAATCAGCAAAAGACTCAGGGACAAAGAATTTTAATTACTGTCTACTGTCTACTGCTGTTACCTTGCTGGGAATCTCTGTATAAGTCACTTAACCTTTCCTTAAAACTCACTTAAAAAGAAAAAAGGGAGATTAATACAGGTTCATTTCAAAGTTTAGTGTCAGGTATAATTAGTAAAATACACAAAACTGTCTATCCTACGTTGTTCATTAATAATTCCCAAAGATAATATAAACTCTCCCTTTGGCCATGTAAATGTAGCTTTTTAAATTGGGTAGATAAAATTTTCATTAATAAAAAAATAAAATCACTGTAAGGTACACCTGAAACTAACTGGATATTGTATGTCAATTATACTTCACTAAAAAAAGTAAGATTTTACATACTTAGATGAGAATTCTTTTTTTTAAGATTTTATTTATCTTGAGAGAAAGAGAGAGAGTGAGCACACATACGCACGGAGGTGGGTGGGGAGGGGCAGAGGGAGAGGGAGAAAGAGAATCCCAAGCAGATTCCACACTGAGCACAGAGCCTGACACGGGCTGATCCCACGACCCCGAGACCATCACCCGGAGACCATGACCCAAGCCAAAACCAAGAGTCAGACCAGACGCTTAACTGACTGAACCACCCAGACACCCCTCTTTGATGAGAATTCTTAATCCTTAAACACACACACATACCACGGAAACTACAGGTAGAAAATAGTGTGAAGTCTGACTCACCTGTGATGATGAAAGGGGCTTTCAGGTGCAACCTAAGGCTCTGGGATAATTTACCTTGATACACTGCCGCTGATGACCGAGCATGGCTCCGTGTTGTGCAAGTACTGAATGGCTTTGGAGGTTCCTATTAAAACACTGATTCGAATGTGCCAAGAGAGTGGGGCCGTGTTACCCTAAAAAGACAACAGTAGTTGGTTTGGTAATGAAATGTGTATACTCATTACATAGGAGTATGCCAGAAGAAAAGCAGATGGTGAGGTGGGGTAAGGCGAGGGTATGAACATTTTGGTTTCCCACAACCTATTTGTAATTCAAGATACATTTTCCTCTGCTGCCAATGGTACTAGGCCTTTTTATAGCCAATGGAAATACCCAATAATTTTAACATTAGCTTAATCAAAATATGGCCAGTAAGGTAACTCTGTTTAAAAGTTCACTAATAAGGGGCACCTACGTGGCTCAGTCGGTTAAGCATCTGACTCTTGATCTCATCAGGTTCATGAGTTCAAGCCCCACATCAGGCTCTGCACCCAGTGTGGAGCCTACTTAAAAAAAAGTTCCTTAAATAAGACTTAAAAATTATTTGTGGCATAACAGTGTGGGTAATTGAGAATAATATGTTTTTATTCTTACCCTAACTGAGACTTAACCTATTCAGAATGAATTTTTAAACTTATCTTTCAAAAACATGAGAAATCAAGGCATTTATTCCACCTCTTTCTCTTTAAGGAGTCTGTATCACCTTTATGTCTGTCCTTCGTATTCAATGGTACTTTGTGTGAAGTTACGCAAATAGAAATTATCTAAGAAGAGTAGTTAATGTAAACTCATTTGAGATATGCAATCAATAAGGACTAAGGACCCCACAAATCTTTTGGCCACCATGCTGCACAACACACAATAACGCAGGTATTTGTGCAGAGTCTTTTTTTAGAGTAAGATATTGATTCATGGAAAAGTCCTCTACTTCCTTGGGAAACCCATTGTTGGCTGTCTCTTTCTGTGAATACATGTTGGCCCCCTGGGTCCCACAGGACGTTTCAGCAGCTTTTTCAGGGCTTCAGGGGGTCAGAGCGTCAGGGAGAGTCATAGGTGTGACTTACTACACACTGTAATCTGTCAAAAAGGGATCCATTTCTCATATATGGATAAACCAGGCAGAACTTCTCACTCTCTGTAAAATAGGCAGCCAACTCCAGTATGTTTGGATGATGAAACCTTGAAAGAAAAGATTTTTAAGCCCATCAGATTGTTTATTCAAATAGGAAATGAACAGCACTGTGGTTTAGGGGTGATAAGGTGAGATGGGGAATAGGTCTAAAGCAGAATATACATTTGGCCAAGGGAGAAGTTATCTCATTGGACACATGACAGATTTGTTTCCCAAATTGGTCTAAAGAGCTCTATCAAATACTAGCCATTTTTTGATTGATTGTGATCATGCAAATATAAATAAAATATCCAAATATAAGACAGAAAATTTAAGAAAGCGACGATTTCTTAAGATTTGGGAGTCTTGGGAACTTGACAATAAATAGATGACACTACCTGATATTAAATTATGTTTATCAATACGAAACCCAATGTAACTTATTAATAAAGATAATACAACTGAAACCATTTCATTGCTTTAAGTATACTGTATAAGTCACCAAAATAGAAGAGTACAGAAGACTGTTTTCATTCATCCATTTAAGCATTACTATGTCAGATACTGTGCTAGGCATCAGTCACAAAGCTAAAGGAGACATCCAGTGTCTTCATAAAGCTGTACGTTATCTAAAATTCATGTGATTGGGGCGCCAGGGTGGCTTAGTCGTTAAGCGTCTGCCTTTGGCTCAGGTCATGATCCCAGGGTCCTGGGATCGAGCCCCGCATCCGGCTCCCTGCTCGGCGGGAAGCCTGCTTCTCCCTCTCCCACTCCCCCTGCTTGTGTTCCCTCTCTCACTGTGTCTCTCTCTGTCAAATAAATAAATAAAATCTTTAAAAATAAAAAATAAAAATAAAATTCATGTGATTAGTAAAGTCTGATGTTGAAGAACATATCACTGATTTTGAAATGCCAGAGTTCTATGTCAGTGTAGAATACATTTTCAGCCTCCTTTCCTTTAAAACTCTATTTCTTTTTTTTTTTAAAGATATATTTATTTATTTGAGAGAGAGCGACAGAGACAGAGAGAGAGCATGCAAGCAGGGGAAGGGGCAGAGGGAGAGAGAGAATCTCAAGCAGACTCCTCACTGAGCATGGAGTCTGATGTGGGGCTCAATCTCACAACTCTGAGACCAAGAGTTGGATGCTTAACTGAGCCATCCAGGTGCCCTGAAGCTCTATTTCTTTTTCTTTTTTTTTTTAAGATTTTATTTATTTTTTTGAGACAGACAGAGAGAGAGCACAAATGGGGAGGAGGATCAGAGGGAGAGGGAGAAGCAGACTCCCCGCTGAGCAAGGATCCTGAGGGATCACAGGACCCCAGGATCATGACCTGAGCCGAAGGCAGGTGCTCAACTGACTGAGCCACCCACGTGCCCCAAAACTCTATTTCTTGAATGCCTGTATCATCACTGTGAAAACCAGTGGAACCCAGGTAACAGCTATAAAATATAAAATGTGAAATTCACCTGTACCATGAACTCAGTTCAAATTAATTATTTATTGAATGCCTACTATGTTCTAGACATACTTGGGGATATTAAAATAAAGCTTTATTTATTTATTTATTTTTTAAAGACTTTATTTATTTATTTGACAGAGAGAGACAGCGAGAGAGGGAACACAAGCAGGGGGAGTGGGAGAGGGAGAAGCAGACTTCCCGCGGAGCAGGGAGCCCAATGCGGGGCTCGATCCAGGACCCCGGGATCATGACCCGAGCCGAAGGCAGACGCCTAACGACTGAGCCACCCAGGCGCCCCAAAATAAAGCTTTTTTTAAAGACTCTATTTATAAAGACTTATTATTAGTTTCTTCAATAGCAAAACTTTCCTCTAAAATGCCCACACACATCTTCAGATTTCTTGTAGTCCTCCTTCCTTAAAGAAGGAAGTGTGTGTGTATGTGTGTATATGTACCTACACAAACAGACATATTTTACTTTTAGATATGTCAAAAATGCCTGTGACACAAGATCCCTACACCTATTATAATTCAGACCATCATTACATAATGAAAAGCAAGGGACTGAAAAGCAGTTGAGCTGGCATATTTGGCTGCCTAAACAGCTGATCTATACCACTGCCTGTGAGTCCTGCACCTTAAAATAATTCAAAAGGATAGAAATCTTTTTAGAAAGAAGATAGCAGTCCTCATATAGACATAGCCATGGCCTGGTGCTCTGCTTTCCTGCTCACAGAGCAGAAATGACCATTTGCTTATTTTTAGGTATTACCAATCCAGCAGAAAAACGGACACTGTACCAGTTAGTGAGATATGGAACGTGAAGCAGCCATCGAGAAAGACGACTGGCTTTGCATCTACGGACCCTTCTCACCCATCCTTTCACTGCAAATTTTTAAGTCGGTGGGATCTTAGATTATGTAGATCTTAAGGTCTGCAGATACGATAGCTTTAAAATCAATTCGACAAGTACTTGTGAATGCCTCCTACAGATAAAACACAATACAGGGCACCACGGTGTGGGAGAGCAGACAGACCTGAACGACAGACAGACCTGGGTGTGACTCTTTGGTCTTCTTTTCATCAGCTCTGTGGACTTGGGCAAGGATTTAATCTCTGTGAGCCTCTATCTTTGCTGGGGTCTGAACTGTGTCTCTCCCCCACATGCATCCCCCTCCCCCAACCCAACTCCTACGTTAAAGCCCTAACCTTCAATGTAAAGGTGTTTGGAGAGGCCTTTGGGAGCTAGTCACGGTTAGGACTGGAACCCTCACGATAGAATTACTGCCCATATAAGAAGAAAAACTGGAGAATCTCCTCCCTCTCTCTCCACCATGTCAGGACAGAATTAGAAGGCAGTCGTCTACAAGCCAGGAAGAGCACCCTCACCAAGAACCTAATCTGCCTTGATCTTGGACTTTTCAGGCTCCAGAACTGAGAGAAAATAAATTTTGTTCAAATCCCCTGTTTCTTTTGTGATGGCAGCCCTAGAAGATGAATATTCTTCAACTGTAAACAATAATTAAGACACCACTTCCCAAGTTTCTTACAAAAATTAAATGAAAAGTTAAATATGGGGCACCTGGGTGGCTCAGTTGGTTAAGCGACTGCCTTCGGCTCAGGTCATGATCCTGGAGTCCCTGGATCGAGTCCCACATCGGGCTCCCTGCTCAGCGGGGGGTCTGCTTCCCCCTCTGCCCTCTCCCTCTCGTGCTCTCTGTCTCTCATTCTCTCTCTCTCTCAAATAAATAAATAAAATCTTTAAAAAAAAAAAAAAGTTAAATATGTAGACAAATGCCAGGTTCTCAAAAATTATTACCTCCTTCCCCTCCCCTTAGGAAAGAAAGGAATCAGAAGCCACACCCTAAGGAGTTTACAATTCTGTTTAAGGGACAGGGGTTAAGTAATTCTCTTAATATTGAACTAAAAAAACTCATCTTCAGGTGTCGGCTTAGGTGTGACTTTTTCCGAGAGGCCTATTCTGCTGCCCAGCCCCCAGGTTACCACGTTCCCCTCCTTCAGTGCTCTGTATGTCTCCATCTTACCACTTCGTTTACTGAAATTGCTATTTACTTGTGTACTTCTCTCCTAACCCCACTCCAGGAAGCATGTTCTGAGAGGAGAAGGCTACATCTGATTTATTCATTAATAAATATCTGAGGAGACTGAAGAAGATTTAGGAAATGAGTTGGATTTTCTCAAAAAGGTAGGATCTACCTCAATTTCCCCATCTCCAAAAAAGGGATGAGGGCAGTATTTACTTCACAGGATTGTTGTGAGGATTAAAGAATTAATACATGTGATGTACTTGGTATAAAGCCTAAAACTAAATAAGTATTAGCAATATAAATAATAATAATAGTGGGGTGCCTGGGTGCTCAGTCATTAAGCGTCTGCCTTTGGCTTAGGTCATGATCCCAGGGTCCTGGGATCGAGCCCCGCATCGGGCTCCCTGCTTAGCGGGAAGCCTGCTTCTCCTTCTCCTACTCCCTCTGCTTGTGTTCCCTCTCTCTCTGTCTCTCTGTCAAATAAATAAATAAAAATCTTAAAAAAAAAAATAATAGCACACCAAGAATATTCACCATCATAGAGTTGTTAATTCTCTCTACTCATACATAAATACCTCACCAGAACAAATCCAAATGGATCAGATGTATAAATGAAAAAAAATGAAACCATAAAGGTACTTGAAAAAACCATGGTAGAATTATTTTATAACCTTTCACTGGGGAAGGTCTTTGAAACTGTGATATAAAATTCAGAATCTGGGGCGCCTGGGTGGCTCAGTTGGTTAAGTGTCAGCCTTTGGCTCATGTCATGATCTCGGGGTCCTGGGATCAAGCCCCACATCAGGCTCCCTGCTCAGGGGGGAGCCTGCTTCTCCCTCTGTCTCCTGCTTTTCCTGCTTGTGCGCACTCTCTCTCTCTCTCTGTGTCAAATAAATGGGTGGAGTCTTAAAAAAAAAAAGAAATATATAAAAATAAATAAATAAAATAAAATCCAGAATCCATAAAAGAAAATATAGATTAAATTCACTACATTACTCTGAAACCAGTAATACATTATATGTTAATTAATTGAATTTAAATTAAAAAAAATTCACTACATTAAAACCATTTCCACATAGCAAAAACTAGAATAGGCAAAGACAAATGTCAGTCTGGTAAAAAAAAAAAAATTTGTATCTCACAACAAGAATAAGGCTAATTTTCTCTAATATATTAAATGCTCCTACAAATTATTAAGAAAAATACCAACAGCCTCTTTTTTTAAAAAAATGGGCAAAGAATAGTATCAGATATTTCACAGAAAAGAAAATAGGTCTCTTAATATGTGAAAAGATTCACTCATAATAGAAAAAGAAATTTAAACCACACTGAGAAATCATTTTCACCTAGCACACTGGCAAAAATTAAAAGTTAAGAATAAACGCTATGTTGACAAAAATATGGGGAACCAGGCGTTCTTATATATGTCTGCTTTAAGTGTAAAGTGGTATTTCTTTTGGAGGACAATTTGGTATTATGCAATGCATATAACCATTTGACCCTGTAATTGTATTTATGGGAACTCAGATATACTCAAACAGGTACAAAATAACATATATACAAGCTTTTCTTATTGCAGCATCATTACTTTCTAATATTAAAAGATTAGAAAAAAACTAAAAAATCCATTGATATGAGAATTGTTAATTAAATTACAGTACAGCACACAATGGAATACTAACATAAGCAAAGTGAACAATATATTTATGCTACCCGTGGTGTGAAAATAAGAAAACAAAATACACACATGCTTATGCATAAAGTATCTCTGGGAAGATATACAGAAAACTGATAACTGTTACCCTTGGGGAAATCAGCTGGGTGGCTGAAGATAATAGGGGGGAAAAATCTGTTCTTGGTTTATGCTTTGGCACTTTTGGAATTTTGAAATTTTCCAACTTATTACTCATTCATTAGCAAATAAATAAAGCTTAAAAATAGAGACCCTCTACTATTACAATTTGGGTTTTAGTTTTTGGTTGACTAAATGATATGTGTTAAGTTTTTATGATTAGACTTCTAATGTTTTGATTTCTGGTCCCAGGGATAAAAGAAGGATTTAGTACAATGCCTTCTCCACCACCACCCATTTCACTTATTGCTTTAGAAAATATCTGAAAAGAATATTTTCTTTTCATAAAGGGTGATGAGTGAGCTCCATAGGGTTAAGGGCCTTTGATGAGCAGGCTGGACGGCTGCAGATATGAATATATATGAACATGAAGTCATTTTAGTTTGTCTCCAAGGACTCCCGGGCTCATGAATGAATTCCCAGAAAATAGCACTTGATTTCTTTGTCTAAACTCTCTTCCTGAAGAGGGTTATACTGATGAAACAGTTTCTTGACTAAAATGTCTCTTAGGAAGGAGGAAATGGTCAAATACATACAATTCTAATGTTCCAGGAGTTATTTGACATTGAGCCATGTTAAGCACACATGATTTAACCCACCTTCTTGTGACAGTTTCTTGTTAAAATATGTTCAAGTGAATTATGTGGATGGTGTATTTTAAAATGTATTCTAAGGAACAGACTAAAGCAGATGTCAAAAATGTACCCAGTGTTCTCACAGCCAACCCACATTTATTACCTCTAAGCATCAAAGATGCACAAAGCTGAAAACCAGGCAGAGGGAGAAATTCCAGACAAAATATACTCACAGTAGTAAAACTTCAAGTTCAGATAAAAACCTCTTCCAGTGTTTCTTATGCTGCATTTTTTTCTCCTAAATATCATATAGAAAAATTAGGAAAAAAATTAAGGAAAGGATCTCTATTTCTGGGATTCTTAACCCAGGGTCTATAGTCTTCCTGCAACTTAGCTGCCCTTTTTGATGTAAATGCATATAAGCATTTTGTCTGGGGAGAGGATCCTTAGCTTTCATCAGACTTTCAAAAACCCATTACCTCCCAAACAGATTGAGAACCACTGCTCTTGAGGTAGAAGTTTTTCATGCAATGTGTCCTATTGCTGTATTTTATATTCAAACCCTTTTACCATATTTTGTACACATTTACATAAATTCAAAAATTTTATATATGTATTTAAGGAAAATCCCATGACAGAAATTCCCCACTTGGTCTCAGAAAGAATCCAGTTTGTTGTCGCTGTATTCTGGTTAGGAGTGATTTCACTAATTTGGCATTTCTGATTTGGGTCATTTGGAGATGATGACTCAAGTTTACCTTTGTATTAATTTTGAAAAAATGGGCTTACTAAGACATTGAGAAATATAACTCCTTATTTCAAAGGCGTTTCAGAAGCTAGCCCAATGCCTGACACATGAATATTGATTGAATATATTAATGAATTCAATAATATTGTACGAGCACCTACTCGGTACCTGGTATTGTTCTTGATGGCTTTATACACCTTATGTCACTGCATGTCTCCGCATCTCCAGTTCCTAACTTCTACCACGAAAGAGTTAAATATTCTTAGGCTCCATCAGCTGTAAGTTTCTATTATTTGTAAATTGCGAGACAGGGCAGGGTTTTTAGAGCTCTGTTCTCAGGAAGAAAGGGAGAGAAATCCAACAGGAATTCTGGAAGCTATTTTCCAAAAATTAATCCAGGAAGTCAGAAACAATAAACTAGGCTAACAAACCATTTTCAAGAACCCCTTTATGAGAATTTACATTTTAAAAAGCCGTTGTCCCGGGAGCCAGGTGGATTGGGTCTCAGTCCTATTTCTAATACTCAATATTTGTGACTTTTTGTCACTTAACATCCCTGAGGTCGTTTTCTTAATCTGAAAAATGAAGGGGTTAGTTTTTGTGTTCATGCTAACCTAGCACTCTTAATGCTCAAAGTTTGGTCTGTGCACGAGTAACACAGGCTTCCCTGGGAGCTGGTGAGCAATGCTGAATCTCAGGTCCCTACCCAGGTGTGCTGAATCAGAATCCGCATCATAAGATCTCCAAGTGATCTGTACACACCTAACGCATCTTGTACATTTCCCCACTTCCATCCCTTGAAGACAGGTTACTGAGGTACTGAAGTTAATGTCCCAATTTTAGAAAACCACATTTCTTTAAAAACAAATGCTCTGTGGCTCTTTGTTAAATTATCCCATCTTTCCTGATGTGTGTGTAGGACTTTGTACAGTCTCTAAGTCTCTGGTAACTTCGTTAGCTCCTGTCTTTTTACTCCTAGAGATTAGCAGCTAAATTCATGAAAAGGACATACATGCTTCATTCAATTCACCTAATGAGCATTTATTGAGCAACTTCCATGGGCCAGGCCCTGTAATAACGCTCTCGGATACAAAGATCAGTAAGACTCTTTAAAGAAAACCATCAAGCCCATTGGGAGAGGTGGGTGATGAAGTCGGTATTGGGAGATAAGGCTATGAGGCTGTGGCTGCATGTCGGAGCTCTGGCTGTCTCTCCCGGGCTCCCATGACGTTTTATACAAATCTCTGCTCAACTACTTCTCACCCTGCAGGTTCATCTTTTCTTTACCTGACCGTTTGTTTGCCCCGTAAGACTGAGTTCCCCAAAGTCAGAGGGGGAGACGAACCATGAGAGACTCTGGACTCTGGGAAACAAACTGAGGGTTTTAGAGAGGAGGGGGCGGGGGGAGGGGGTAGCCGGGTGATGGGTATTGGGGAGGGCACGTGTTGTGATGAGCACTGGGTGTTATACGCAACTAATGAATCACTGAACACTACATCAAAAACTATACAGTGGCTAACTGAACATAATAAAAAAAAAAAAGACTTATCTCCCTGAGGACGTAATTATGCCTCATTCATTCTTGCTCAGCACCCAGCCCAGCAAGAGTTTAATAAACGTTTATTGACCATTGACTAACAATGAGGAACATGAAGAGCAGCTCTTTGGGGTGTCTGTGTGCGCCCCTGTCTCCTGACTCCTGAGTTTGACTCCCCAATACCCTTTCTGCTTTCCTGGCTGTGGCCACTCAGCTTTTTCCTGAGCTCCTACTCTGATCACTGCCTTGCTCCTCTTACCTGAAGCCTCCTCCTTCCAGCCCTCCTGAACTGTGATACATGACAATTTATACATATCAACCTGTGGCTTAGCCTGTGAAGCTACTTGGAACAGACACTGTCCATCCCACAAAGAACAAGAAAACTGTTCAGACCAGAACAAGCAAAGTGCCAATGGTCCTGCAAGGCTTCTCAGAAAAGTCCTCCTCCTTCGACACATCTGGGGATGGGAAGAATTTCACTTCCACATTCCTGTGAGACAGGCATTCATTTCACAGTCTTTTCTCCAGTCACCTGAGCTCATATATCTTATTTCCATTTATGAAACTTTGTTTTCAAATATACCTCCTTTCAATGTTGATGAAAAATGACACATTCTAGTATGAAATATGAGCAAATAAATGGAACTGATCTCCTGTGATAGTAATTCTTTCCATACCTGTTTAAATAATTTAATGGCATATGTTTGGTTTTGGATCTCCGCTCTGTATACCTCAAAAATCTCCCCTTCTCCAATTAGGAAGTCTTTGTGGAAATTTTTGGTTCCATCTCTGATGTTTTGAAAGCTCATGGAGGATTTAAACAATATTCCTTAGGAAGGAAAGTAGGGAGAAGATAAGTTACTTTTTCTCTCCTTAAGAATCAATGCCACCATTATAAAGAACCAGGACTTCCATATTAGAAATATATCAGAGCCCAGCAGAAAACCAGCAGGGCCCAGGAACCCAAACTGAAGCCCACCATGTGCTCTCTGCCCATTTACTCGGGTCTGGCACCCACCATTCCAGAGAGCAAATGGCTTTTTAGATATCTGAACAATAGCACTGTGATTTTATCACCCTTCCAAAGAGCTCAGCCAAAGAACTTAGTTGGGGAAACTTTTCCAAGATTCGATTTCTTTGTCATTAGATCAATGGGTTGCTTTTGACTCACTATGAACCTAAAACCATTTAAAAAAAAAACAAAAACAGAAACTATAGAAGTGGAAATTTTGTTATGACTAAACAATATTCTCCAAGCATGACTGATAGAAACATTTTTCATGAGCCAAATCCTCTCTATTCCTAACTTACTTCCTCAGAGTAAATTAGGAAGATGTTTTAGCTTTTCAAAAAATCATCTAAAGCAGAGATTGGGAGAAAACATTTAAAAGGTAATCGAATACATATCCAAAGGGAAAAGCTTAGCTAAATCCTTCGGAGCCCAATTTTGGCTCTATTTCTGCATTTTATGTTTGATTTAGAACTTATTGTTAAATCTTAAAGGACCAAAACCTTATCCAACTTTATCCAACTTTTCTATTTCTCTTTTGAAACAAAGAATATGCAGATTTAGTGGTAAAGAAGAGGCAAAGCAGCCTTACTAGCCATTAAAGTTTATCAGAATGATTCCCAGGTAGAACTAAATTATTCTCCCTGCTAATAAAGTAATAAAGTTGATATGGAAAATAATGGGATTTTCATAGTGACCTTCAGCATTGCTCTACAGATATCTCTAAAGATCTCTGCAAGGGCTATGGAAATTTCTAAAACTATATAAAACCCAATGTAATTTTTAAGTGTTTTCTGATGATACATAAAAATGCAAATTTCACTAATGGAAAATATGAAACCCCCCTAAGGGAAGAGGCCACTATTATATTCTCTATTGGCCAATGGATTTTTAAAATATCACCATAATATATCATCCATCAGAGCTCCTTGTCAGTCAAAACTGCAAGTATTTTGATATCCATGAAAATTTTACCCTAAACCTGCATATTAATGAATAGTTAATAGGTTTATTGGCTATTTCTCTGTGTAAGTTAACTTAAAGCACAACATGATTGAAAGTAAAAAAAAAAATTTTTTTTTACCTTTTTCATTACGTTCAGGAATAAGAACATTATCCACTGTGACATTAGCTGTTTCCTAAGAGGAAATACAGACTGAAGTAATTCCCTTTCATAAGTCTAGAAAGAACAGAACCTTAACAGAAATCCAAAGCTCCCCCTGGACTATACAGTGCAATAGAGTAGAATCTAATTTAGAAAAAAACCTAGTAGAAAGCAAAGTTACTTTATTTAATTCAATAGTATTCATTGCTATATACAGTTAAGTCTTTCATACCACTGCAAAAACTCAATGTCATGATTATAGTCAATTTTAAATGACTTCTAATGCTATAAAAACGATCACTGCCAATTTATTTGTTCCAATAAAACCAACAGCAACATGCAGAACGCCAACTAAAACAGGAAAATTAAAAACTGAATTAAGACAAATGCGCAGCTCACAGAGCTCTTAACAGTTCTAAGCCTCATCTGTGATAGATCACTGTGAGGAGAAAGCTCTTCACTCTTAAAACACTCACAAATCTAATTTCCTCAATCCCCAACTAAACAAAGAGTAATGAGAGAGCTGAGGCTTTTCTGGTTTGAGAAAAGTACCTGCAAATCCAGCATTTTTCTGTCTGACAATTTCATTCCCCATGCTCCATTATATATGCAACAGGATTCAAGGTTTATTATCTATGCACATACACTCTACCTTGGGTAACATGTTTGGAAATCCATCTCCCTGATGACTCTGCTCTGAAGGATTCAAGACTGCTCCTGAAAGAGAAATAAGGGAAGCTAGATACAAAAAAATTTTATGTCTCTAATAAACATGTTTTTTTTTCCTTTCTTAGACTGAAAATAAACACCTTGCTAGTAATGTTAATTTCTAAAGCTCAGTTTCATTCTCTTTGAATGGTTACAAATTTGCATATGTGAATAGCTTTCTAAGGATCAAATATTATGCAAACATGATTTTGTTCAGTTAACACATAAATACCTACCTTAGGTTATTGTTAGATATCATTAAAAATATTAAAGGATAAAGCAGAAAACTGAAAGGAAAAAGCAACATTGTATCAGCTTTTTGCCCATATACTTTAAAGTTTTACAATCATGGGATCATATCTCCCTAGGTTACTTTATTTTTTATCCTATCTTATGCCATAAGGTGTTAGAGGTGTGTGTGTGTGTGCGTGTGTGTGTGCACACGCATGGTCAACCACAAACACCTACCACCCCTTCCCGAATGCACACTGTAACTTCCATCTGTTCTATTTGAATTGAGGTAGTCTATGTAGTTTCCTACAAAAGATGAAAACCCTGAAATATTTTGCTGTCACATTGGACATTTTCATTCAGACTTCAGAAAAAATTTAATTCATCTTCTAGTTTTCTTAGATTGTATTCTATTTTAAAAATTATTTTGCTTAGAAGACCGGCAACAAAATGTAATCAATTAATAACAGACCTTCTTGAACAAACTACAAACCAATTAGACCTGGCAGACATTCTATAGAACATTCCATCCCCAAACGGAAGAATATACACATATTTCACAAGTGTACATTGAACAGGCTCCAGAATAGACCATATCTTGTGCAAAAAAATGAGCCTCAATAAATTTGGAAGGATTGAAATAATTCAGAGCATATTCTCTGACCACAATGGAACTAAAATAGAAATCCATAACAGAAGGAAATTTGAGAAATTCACAAATACATGAAAATTAAACAACAAATCCATAAGTAACCAATGAGTTCAAGAAGAAATCACAAGGGAAATTAGAAAATACTTTGAGATGAATGAAAATGAAAACACAATATACCAAAACTTATGGGATGCAGCAAAAACAGTGCTTAAAAGGAAATTTATAGCTGTAAATGTCTACCTTAAAAAGGAAGAAAAATCTTAAATCAATTACCTGAATTTTTACCTTAAGGAACTAGAAAAGAAAGAGTAAACTAGACCGAAGGAAGCAGAAGGAAAGAATTAAGATTATAGTGGAAATAAATGAAATAGATAACATAAAAACAAAAGAGAAAACCAATGCAACCAAAGTGGGTTCTTTGGAATTATCACAAAATTGACAATCCTTTAGCTAGACTAACCAAGAAAGAAAGAGAGAAGACTCAAATTGCTAAAACCAAAAACAAAAGAGGAGACACAACTACCAACCTCATAGAAATAAAGAGAATTATAAGAGAATATGATGAACATCTGTATGTAAAAAATTAGATAACTGGAATGACGTAGACAGATTCCTAGAAAGATACAAACTGCCAAAACTAACTCAAGAAGAAATAAACAATCTGAATGGATGTATTGCAAGGAAAGAGACTGAATTAATAATCTAAGATTTCCCACAAACAAAAGCCCTACCACACATTTAAACAAGAATTAACATCAGGTCTTGGGGCGCCTGGGTGGCTCAGTTGTTAAGCGTCTGCCTTTGGCTCAGGTCATGATCCCAGGGTCCTGGGATCGAGCCCCGTGTCGGGCTCCCTGCTCTGCAGGAAGCCTGCTTCTCCCTCTCCCGCTCCCCCTGCTTGTGTTCCCTCTCTCGCTGTGTCTCTCTCTGTCAAATAAATAAATAAAATCTTAAAAAAAAAAAGAAAAAAGAATTAATATCAGGTCTTTACAAATTCTTTCAAAAAAGAAGAGGAAGTAACAACTCGCAAATCATTCTATGAGACCAAGGACTAAAAATATGTCTGGATGAAAAAGCCAAAAGAATAAGGATGCTGATTCAAAAGAATTTCCAGCCTAAGAGCCCTGAGTCTGTAATATAAGACCCAAGATCACTCAAAATCATTCTTGTTGAAGTGAATAAATCTAAAGTGGAATAAACAGAACAGGTGACATTAGAAAATTATTTTATTGACAAAGATGAATGGAAAAAGCTTCATGAGCTTTACTTATCAGGTTGCTCTAAATGGAAGGCAAGACGCAGCATCAGAAACAGACAAGACAAATAGAGGGAAGTATTAGGCCACTGTGAAATGGATAGCAGACAAGTAAGGTAAAGTTAGAGGCCATGACATAAAAACAGCAGTAAAGATAAAAGATACATCCCAGGGTTATTCTGCAGGTATCATTTGCACTAAAATACAGGGCAGGGGGCTGGGGGTGGGAGTAGAGTGGGGTGTGCCCAGGTGGCTCAGTGGATTAAGCTGCTGACTCTTGGTTTTGGCTCAGGTCATGGTCTCAGGGTCCTGGAATGAAGCCCTGAGTCCTGCTCCTGGGGAGTCTGCTCAAGGATTCTCTCTCTCCCTCTCTCTCTGCCCCTGTCCCCACTCGGGCATGTGTGTGCACGTGCACTTTCTCTCTCTCTCTCTCAAATAAATAAATAAATCTTTTAAGAAAACAAAATACAGGGAGGAGAATCCAATTATATTTTGACTTCTAATCATATGATAAAACTAATTATAAAAGTATATTTTACTCAAATATTGTGATTCTGTTTATGATTCAAATAGTTTCAGAGTTTTGGATGGAGAGCTCATTCTCCTAGCTAAGAATAAAACATTTTAAAAAGTGTAGTTTCTAAGTAAAGAATTTTAAAAAACTTAACAAGTGGTAGAGAGGAATGTGTTGTATAACTTAGGCAACAAGGAAAGAAAATTTCACCAAAAAAAAAAGTAATAAAAGCCTTCAGATAAAGCCTCAGGTAAGGAATCAGTGACATAGCATGACCAGTCAATGTCTTGAATAAAGTGCAGTATTTACATTTACAAATTACATTTCCTATAAAATGGACTGAGAGCCACATCAAAAGAATCATAAATGTTTACCATAGTTCACAATTAAATGGATAGCTCGATGATGCCCCATCTCCTGGAGAATCTGTAAAAGGTCCCCGATGGTCTTGTTTTTCTGTGCCCAGGACCAAAGTAATTCTCTTGTTCCACTTTTACCTTGGTCTACATATTTTTCAATGTGACGAACATCCAGCCAGGTGCTTGAAAGTCGCTCCGCTGTGGAAATTGCAAAAGGGAGAACCAAAAAATAATTTACTTTTATTGGAATACTTGTTTGGGGGCACTTGATATGTTTTATTTCATATTATTTATAATTTTTATTTTGAACTAATTTTAGCATCTACTTCCCACCCAACTTCTCCCAATGTTAACATCTTACATTACCTAGTACAATGATCAGAACCAGTGATAACTCAATTGCAGGCTTTATTCTACTTTCACCAGTTTTTCTACAAATGCCCTCTTCCTGTTCTATGATCCCACCCAATTTCCCACAGTGCGATTTGTTTTCACTTCTTCCTAATCTCCGTTCTCATGGTCTTCAGTCTTTCCTTGTCTTTAAGGACAGTAAAATACTATTGTGTCCTTCTCAGTGCATAGTATCAAGAGGTTCATGATGTCGGTGTCCTATCACTAGTGATCTTGATCTTGATTGCTTAGTTAAGGTGGTATCTGCCACCTTAGTAAGTTCCTTTACTATGAAATTACCTTTCCTTGTAAAATTAATAACTATGTTGGGGGAGATACTTTGAGACTATGGAAATACCCTGCTTCTCCTCAGATTTTACCCATAAACATTTGCATCCACCAGTGGATCTTTTCTATCATAATAATTATCGTGGTCTTTGCTTAATGGTGATCTTCTATTTTCCCTTCCTCCACCTAAGTTCATTAACTATAATTCTTCTGTAGGAAAGTGCTATCTATTCTCCCCCATTTAACTAACTTATTTATATCAGTATGGACTTATGAGTGTTTATTTTATTCTATAGCTTAAAATCCATTATTATTATTATTATTATTATTATTATTATTATTATTATTATTATTATTATTATTTACTTTGGTGCTACAATTATTCCAGCTCTGTCCATCCAGGTTGGGTCCAGTGTTATGACAAGCCCCATAATTTTTGGAACACTTCCTTATTTTCTGACCCTACAAGATGCTCCAGGCTCATTTTGCATTTCCCCCATCCCAGCCCTGGAATTAATTACTTTTCCCAGGAGTCCTCATTCCTTTTATTAGATAATGTGTTTAGAAGGCAAGATGTCAGTGCTGGATGCTCTCATGAGTGCCAGGGCTCCATTGCTTCCAAGCAGACAGAGCTAGGAAAATATGTGTATATGCATTAACCCACACACCTGTATTTCTCTGTCTGTACACATACTGAAAACCATGATTTTATACAGATACCTGTGATTCTAAGTCAACACCACATGGTGTATTTGAGCTCTTCCTCATTTGTAACTTTATTCCCAAACAGCAAGAAACTTCGCTCTCATTATTTACAATGTCTTTACTTATTTGTTCAATACTACTACATTCAGAACTGCTAACCTATACCCCTGTGAGAAACCCTTTAAACAAAATACAGCATTTATGTACAAGTCTTTTTGCCTTCAGTGTAAGAGTATTCAGGTAAGAGCCTATTTTCCAAAGTTACTAGGTTAGTTCTTTTCTTCCTCACTCCCATCAGTGTGGTTACTCATTTGCAATAGTTAGGGTCATTTGTTGCAGTTTTAATGGAATGCTGTTTTAAATTTTTGTTCAATACTCTCTTGCTGCTGAACATTTTTGAGCAATTAAAAGCTAATCTCTGGGTAGGATCGGGGAAATGTTCTACTGGGATACTAGGATTTTAATTGTTCAAAAACAGCGTATATGACTTATTTAAGGTCTTGTATAAGTATCTTAAAGCTGTACTTACTGAAAGTATATGAATTTTTATGACACCCTGAGTTAGTGGGACTCTTCAGATAAAAAATTATACTGTCTTTGTGCACAACTTCCAGATTTTGAAGTGTATTTTATTTGTTTTTAATTTTTTTAATTTTAATTTTTTAAAACATTTTATTTATTTATTTGACAGAGAGAGAAAGCAAGAGGAGGAACACAAGCAAGGGGAGTGAGAGAGGGAGAAGCAGGCCTTCTGCCAAGCAGGGATCCCAATGCGGGGCTTGATCCCAGGACCCTGGGATCATGACCTGAGCCGAAGGCAGACCCTTAACGACTGAGCCACCCAGGCGCCCCTTGAAGTGTATTTTAAGGCAAAGGAAGGAGAAAGAACCAAATGACAGATCAAATGGGTGTCTTTTTTGCCCCTGGGATAATACTCCCAGATTAGCCAGTCATCTTGAGCACTAAAATTAGCAATGTGGTTTGGAATCAGTGATGATGATGGCAGCATCCTCTCATACCTCTGTCCTCTGGAAAGTCTAAAAAAATTAGGAAGCCAGATGCACATCAATAGATAAAATCCAGTTATCATCTGAGTGTGGTCATGGGGACCCTCGACACATCACCATAACTGGTTATGGAAATCAGTCTTCTCTTCCTCTGCCGCACATAAATTTGGAAGCTCCTCTCCAGCAGTAACCAAGGTAACCTCACTGAAGGGCTCACCTATTCACCAATGATATTCTCCAAAGGTTGATGTCCTTTTAAAGGACAAACAGGGGCTCAGATTGGAAAGGTGCAATAAGCCCCCTATGGAACTGTGTTCAGTCTATTTCAGACTCTAAAGTTTTAAAAAATTTCTTAGGAAACTACTACACCAGTTATAGTATTTCAATCAAGACATCAGAAAGGCAAACATCTTCTGATCTAATATGGCATCCCTTCTCCCCACATTTTCAGTCCTTCAAGGGTTTCCTGGGCTATTCAATTTCCTCTAACTTTATGTTTTTGCTGAGAGTATAAGTAAATCCTGAAAGTTGATAGAGATCACAATATGAAATCATAACTGCCCCTCTTTCTGTGAACGAACAATTGACTTGGTAGTTATTACCAGTGCCTACCAATATTTCCAGTCCTCTACCCCATCAGAGAGCGAGGATTAGGTCTTCCTGCCTTGGGTTAGTTATGCCTATGTGTCTCTTTCAGCCAGAAACACGGAAGAGCCAGGGCACAATGCACCAGGCTCCCATTCCCCCCACAGCAATGGTAGAAGCACATGTCAATATGGGGGTGCCTCAAGATCAAAGCAGCCTGGATTGCTGGGCCACCACATGGAGGTCAGCTGTCCTGGACCCTCAGTGCTCTTCCCACAAGCAAAGGTAAACTTCTGTTATGTTAACCACAGACAGTGATTTTGGTGGTGCTTGTTATTGCAGGCTGACTTGGGTCTATCCTGATTAATACACACAAAGTTTTATCTTGGGTGTTCTGTTACTTCAGTCATATCTTGCATCAGAAAAGAGTGAAAGGAAGTTGCAGCTCTTGTGACTACATTTCAAAGGATGATAAAGTTGAGACATTCTATATGAATGCATGCTTAGTCTGTAGAGGGAAAAACAGCTACACTAGAGTATCTGACATCATTAAGTCGGAATGTCTTTGCCTTTCCTCCATATTTTAAGTTCTGGCAAGAATATTTTTATTATTTCTTTCTTTGAAGACATGATGTCTCATGAAGAGACAAGGACTATCCAAATGTCAATATATATTTTAGACAGCTTATCACTAAAAAAAAAAATAGAAGGGGACCTTCAAAGCAAAAATACTTGGCAAGACCTAGTAACTCTATTTTAATGTATTTCTTTGATGATGTAATCTGCCTATTTGGTTGAGGCACATCTTTCATAAACACTTTATTTAACTATTTCTAGAAGCTCTTAGGGGAAATAGTGCAAATCAGTATAGTTTGTTAAAAAGAAAACCACAGGCCCCAAACGGCATCACTTAGGCCAAGTCACCAAACAGGGCTTAATACCTAATCTAACTGTAGTTTCAACCTCCCCCGGAAATATAAATCTTAACCAGTCAGTCAGGAATTTTCTGATCAGGGCCAATGAAGTAATCTGTTACATGGGCCCTCTCTATCCCCAAAGGAAGATGAGGTCATCTGCATGATAAGAAACCTTGCTCTTCTCCCTAAGGGAAAGTGATCTTGCCAGGAACAATCCTTTTCTTTTGCCAATAACTTTCTTGCCCCACCATCTTTCCTATAAAAACCTTCCATTTTGTACAACTCCCTGAACTCCCCTCTATTTGCTAGATGGGATATGGACCGATTCATGAATCATTAAATAAAGCCAATTAGATCTTCAGATTTACTTGGTTGAATTTCATTTTTTTTTTTTAACAAATTCAAACATTTGTTTAATGTGCTAGCAGTACAGTAATTGCATACATCAAGTGTAAATGGAGGGGCACCTGGGTGGCCCAGTCAGTTGAGTGCCTGGCTCTTGATTTCAGCTCAGGTCATGATTTCAGGTTCATGAGATCATTCCCCGTGTTGGGCTCCATGCTCAGTGCGGAGTCTGCTTGGGATTCTTTCTCTCCCTCTCCCTCTGCCCCTTCCCATGCTTGTGCACTCTCTCTCTCTCTCTCTCTCTCTCAAATAAGTAAATCTTAAAAAAAAAAAAAAAGCATGTGTGGAGCAAGAAGAGGGTTCCCTAACTAAAGATGAGGGCATCATGGGGGCACCTGGCTGGCTCAGTCAGTGGAGCTTGGGACTCTTGATCTCAGGGTTGTGGGTTCAAGCCGCATGTTGGATGTAGATTACTTAAAAATAAAATCTTATAAAATCTTAAAAAAAAAAAAGATGAGGGCATCATGGAAGGCTTCCTAGAGGAGTGGTTTCTGGAGCCTGAGCCAAGTTTAAAACTGTAAGTATTTCTAAAGAGAGGCCACTGCTTAAGGAATTATTGGATGGAATATACTATACTGGGGAGGAAAAAGAAAATCACTGGAATTTCAGTTGGAAAACAAGATAAAAGAATGAACTCTGAGGCTCTATTGTCTTCAAAAGAGAAAAGTCACCAGTCAAGACAGAGGACCCTTGTGGCCCCTTGGATATATGCATGAAAATGTGGGTTTAGGGGTGGCTCTGCCATTGACCTATGGTCAACTCTAGGCAAGTCACTGAGCAGTTCCAAACTTCTCATTAATAAATATCCTTTGAAGTCCATTTGAAATCCCTCCCAAAACAGACACTAAGTTTGGTGGCCCCTCTCTGGTGTGCTGTTTATAGGAGCACTGACCTTAAAATA